TCACAGTGGGATAGCTGCTCGACAGGTTACGTCGAGCTGCAGCGGACCGCTGTGGTGTTGCTGTCGACCAAGGAGCTCGACAGCTGCAACTGACTGGTCAGTGCGACGGGTGGGCCGTCCGGGAGGTCGACGAAGCAGTCCGTCGACCTACAGTTCGACGCGGAGGTCTACGGAGCATCCCGCTGAACTGCAACTCGACCGGGAGGTCTGGGGAGCATCCCGTCGACCTACAGTTCGACCGGGAGGTCGACAGAGCAGTTCTGGTCGACGGAAGGGGTCCATCGACCAGGGGGTAGCTCGACGGGAGTTGTGGTCGACCAGGAGCGCCTGGTGGTCGACCAGAGGGACCCAGTGGTCGACCGGAGGCACCTGGGGGTCGACCAGAGCACCAGGGGTCGACCAGGTCGACCGGGTAACCTGCTCGACGAGTTCTGCGAAGGCTCGCGAACGTCGTCGAGATCGCGATGGCGCAGACGACTTCGGACTGGTATCCCGAAGTCGATGTGGCTCGTCAGGCGCAGACAACAGCCGACGGATGCCCAACGAGGCAAGTCGGGCCAATCGTCTGCGCACACCTGCGAGCGCGCGCACTCCTGTGTTCTACGGGGCACGCCGTCGACCTGCTTTGTTGGCAGGTCGCCCTTCTGCAGTGCTGGCGCGGCTCCTCTACGCAATGCTGGCAGGCGGTCGACCGAGCTGCGTTGGCGGTCGACCAGGCTAGCTGCAGGGTTGCTAGGTGCCTGATATAGTCATTGTTGTCATTCCTTCTTGGATTATTCTGGGATTCTCAACTTTGCTAGTGGAAACTCTTGCCAATTTCTCCCGTGAATGTGCAAGCACTAAGGAACCAAGCAAAGCTACGATCACCTCTAGTAGTTCGTGCCAACCCTGTAGTCCAGCTCACAACCGTTGTAGAGTGTATCTCCGCATGGTGCGGTGAGCGTGGATCGAACACGCGACCTTCAGATAGGAGCCGACTTTTGCACCTACTAAGTCGTTCGTAGGCCGGCAGTAGCGATAGTCGCCATGGTCGACCCCGTGGTTGATGCGGGTGTAACGGACACCTTGGAGGCATGTTTGGCTGACGCGAGGAGACGCCACGCGGATGGCGAGTACGGGACGATCCCCTTGGTGATCGCCGAGTTGGGCATCCGGTCGCAGTGGGCGACTGAACACCCTTCCCGTCCTACTTCTCCTCGACCGGTGCGCAACGAAGGTGGCGTCGACGACGAGGTCGACGGTGGTGCACGAGTCAGCGGCAACGAAGGCACGAGGCAGAGAGGAGTGATCAAGGTCGACGGTGGTGTCGACGGAATCCAGGCGCGAGTGCAGCGGTCGACGGCGGCTGCAGGCAGCTCGCACGCCGACGTCGATGTTCGACGTCGCTCTCCTCTACGAAGTGGTGGCGGGCTCTCGGCGACGACGCATGTGACTGCGGGCGGGATTGCACCGGCGTATGGCTACTTCAAGTTTTCGCCGGATCGAATAACCGTCGCTCCGCTGCAAGGTCGACGGGACCTCATCACCTGGAGGGAGTCGATCGAACCTCAGCTGGAGGTCGCCGGGCTGAAGGGCTTCGCCGACGGCACTGTGCCAATTCCGCCCGAGGAGGATATCGGGCTGCGCGGGGAGTTTCGTTCTGCTCACCTGCTCACCTTCATGGTCATCTCGAGGTGCTGCTCGCCGGTGGTGCAGCTGGCGCTCAGGAGCTGTCGAGAGCGACTGGATGCTGGTCACCAGGCATGGCGCTTCATCATATCGACGTACCAGGTCAGGGACGACCTGTACATCGGACAGCTAGAGGAGAAGATGACTCACATTCGGATGGGCGAGCAGGAGTCAGCGACGGATTACTGCAACCGTGCTTGACGGATCCTGGCTGAGATGCGAATGGCGGGCGCCGAATACTCGACGGCGTCCTACATCACCCACATCGTCAAGGGCTTGCCGCGCAGCTACAATCTCATGAAGAGGATGATGATGGTGCCCGACACACGTGAGTCCCTCGACGAGGACTCCATCACCAGCTACATTCTTCAAGATGAGGCGATGCAGGAGGCCGAACAGCCCACAGAGCTTCTTCCGCAGGCGAACTACGTTGCATCGACGAAGCTGAATCAGCAGCAAGGGCAGCGCGGGAAGCCGGGCGGAAGTGGTAGCGGAGGTGGGCGGTCGACGAAGGACGTCGACGAGAAGAGGTCGACGCGGGACAAGGGTCGACGAGGTGGTGGTCGACGGCGCGAGTGCTGGGTCTGCGGCGATCCCGACCATCTCTCCTTTGAGTGCCCCGACCGCGATGACAGTGACGAGGACGACAACAAGGGAGGCCGCGGACGATCGGCCAGTCGTCGCCCCCGTCGAGTTGAGAAGCCGCGCAAGGAGAAGCAAGCGTCGAAGAAGACGTCGTCGACGAAAGACGTTGACAGCTCCAGCGGCAAGAGCCGAGGCGACGGGGAGGCGTCGTGCTCGATGGTCGGCGTGGTGGAGCCGACGGTCTCGCTGGCACCGGAGGCCGGCGAGGACTTCCAGGCAGTGGCGGCAGCTGTGCAGGCCAACCCGATGGCGGTGTTGCTCGATAGCGGTGTCAGAACATATAGCTTACTTGTTTGTGTAGGCTATAGTGGGGTATCCCATAGGGGGTACAACACATTAGGGTTTCCTATTTGTATTCACTTCACTTCATAGTCATTCATTCTCGTTTTTTGTTTTCACATGGAATCAGAGCAGGTTCCCTCCTAGGGACTGCTTCTAGGGCCCACCGAACCGCGCCCCGAGGCGCGTTTTTTTTTAGCGACCCGTCGTGTCGCCCCTAGCGGCCCGTTGCGCCGCCCTTCCCCTAGCGGCTCCGCCGCCCTTCCCTAGCGGCCCCGCCGCTCTTCGATCGCGGCCCCGCCGCCCTCTGCTACGCGGCCCCACCGCCGCCCTTCGATCGCGGCCCCGCCGCCCTCGGCTACGCGGCCCCGCCGCCCTCTGCCACGCGGCCCCGCCGCCCTCTGATACGCGGCCCCGCCGCCCTTCGATTGCGGCCCCGCCGCCCTCTACTACGCGGCCCCGCCGCCCTCTGCTACGCGGCCCCGCCGCCCTCTGCTACGCGGCCCCGCCGCCCTTCGATCGCGGCCCCGCCGCCCTCTGCTACGCGGCCCCGCCGCCCTCTGCTACGCGGCCCCGCCGCCCTCTGCTACGCGGCCCCGCCGCCCTCTGCTACGCGGCCCCGCCGCCCTCTTCGGTCGCGGCCCCGCCGCCCTCTGCTACGCGGCCCCGCCGCCCTCTGCTACGCGGCCCCGCCGAGCCGCCCAGCAACAGCCGAGCCGCCGCCGAGCCGCCGCCGAGCCGCCGCCGCCTGAGCCGCCGCCCGGGCCACCTGAGCCGCCGCCCGAGCCGCCGCTGAGCTGCGGCCGAGCCGCCGCCCGAGCAGCCCGAGCCGCCCGTGCCGCCCGAGCCGCCCGAGCCGCCCGAGCCGCCCGAGCCGCCCGAGCCGCCCGAGCCGCCCGAGCCGCCCGAGCCGCCTGAGGAGCCGTGCTGCTGTTCCTGAGCTGTGTTCCTCTGCTGCTGACCTACCCGACTCTCCCAGCCCGGTGAGACTTTCAGCTGCTGCCATGGCCACCCCCAATGTTCTTACTTTTGACGCTGAGGGGAGGGCCATTGACTTTGCCGTCTGGATTGAAGACCTGCAGCTGTACTTACTGTGTGATGCGATAGATGAGGTCTCTCTCTTTGACTTTGTCTCTGGCGCTGTCCCTGCCCCACCTGCTGATGCTGACTCTGCCGTTCGCTCCAAGTGGGCGACCCGCGATGCTGCTGCACGTCTTGCTGTGCGTCGCCACCTCCCTTCCTCTGAGCGTGCCCACTTTAGTCAGTGCAAGACCGCTCAGGCCTTGTACGACGCTGTAGTTGCACGCTACTCCTCCCCTTCCTCCGCTACCCTTAGCCGCCTCATGCTACCGTTTCTCTTCCCTGACCTCGCTTCCTTTCCCACTGTCGCTGACCTCGTTACCCACCTCCGTGCTAGTGACACCCGCTACCGCGCTGCCCTTCCTGCTGAGTTCCGCGCTGCGAACCCTCCTCCCATGTACATCACTCTCTACTTTCTCGTCACCCGTCTCCCTGAGTCCCTTCGTGTCGTTAGGGACCAGTTTCTCTCTGTCTGTCCCACCACTCTCACTGTCGACCTCCTTGAGGAGTCCCTGCTAGCGGCTGAGAAGAGTATTGTCGCTGTAGGGGCCTCTCGGGGTGACCCTCGCACCCCCATCTTTGAGGGGTGTGGTCCTTCCCCCCTGCTGCCCTCTGTCGCCTCTGCCGCTGCGGCCGACCTCACTGGTTTTGAGTCGGTCGGCGCGGCGTCTGCCCCCAGCGGCAGACGCCGCTCTGGCAAGGGCAAGGGGGGCAAGGGAGCGGGTGGAGCTAGAGGGGGCGGTGGAGGAGGCGGTGGGGGTGGCGGGGGGAGTGGGGGTGGCGGTGGGGGTGGTGGCGGGAGTGGAGGTACTGGTGGCGGCGGTGGAGGCGGAGGTGGCGGCGGAGGTGGTAGCGGAGGAGGCGGTGGGAGCGGTGGGAGCGACGGTCCTGGTGGGGGAGGTGGAGGTGGAGACGGGGGTGGCGGTGGAGGCGGGGGTGGCGGTGGAGGCGGGGGTCGGAGTGGCTCGTCCCAGCGGAGCAGCTCTGGGGGTGGTCAGCGCCAGCAGCAGCAGCAGCAGCAGCAGCCGCAGCAGCAGCCACAGCAGCAGCAGCGCTCTCGCACCGTCCCCGCCCCTCAGCAGCTCTGTGAGTGGTACTCGCAGCGTCAGCGTGGTGGTGCGCTTGGTCCTTGCCCCTACGTTCTTCGCACCGGTGACCGTGCAGGGGAGAGGTGTGGAGGCGCCCACACAGCCCGCCGCTGCTTTGGCCGCCTGACTGACGCCTGGCGTCAGCAGTTTCCGGAGGCAGCTGAGATCCCCCGCTGGGGAGAGCTGTCTAGGGCTGGTGTAGCTATTTATGATCTTGATTTTGATGATATTCTCTCTGCTATGTATGCTGCGATTGGTAGTGATGAGGATGACTGTTACCGGTGTTTCCCGCCCGACCCGGGCATTGGTACTGCCGCGTCAGGTACTAGTGAGGCTGCTGCTCTAGGTGCCAGTGCGTCTGTGCTCTCAGGTGCTGGTGAGTCTGCCCTCTCAGGTACTGTGTCGGCTTCGGCCTCTCACACCTTCACCCTTGACTCTGGAGCGTCTCGCTCCTTCTTTAGGGACCGCACCACTCTCACGCCGCTGAGTCGGCCGGTTGCGGTGTCCCTGGCTGACCCCTCTGGGGGGCCTGTCCTGTCTCGCTTCTCCACTGTCCTCCCGTGTCCGGCGGCCCCCTCTGGCACCCTGACTGGTCTTTAACTCCCCTCGTTCTCGACGAACTTGGTGAGTGGTGCTGACCTCCAGGATGCGGGTGTCCACCAGTTCACCCCTGCTCGTCAGCGGGTGACCCACTGCACGGAGGCGGATACAGGTCGCCACCTGGCTACGTTTACACGTCGGCCAGGGTCGAGCCTGTACACACTGACCACTGCTTCTCCTCCAGGTGCTGAGTCTGGTAGGGTCCCTTCGTCTGGTCAGGTGTTTGCTGCAGCGTCCAGGTCTGGTCCTGAGTCTGCCCCCTGCTCGTGCCGTCGTCTGTCTCACGAGACCCTCCTCTGGCACCACCGCCTTGGCCACCCCTCTCTGCTTCGGCTCAGAGGCATGGCCTCGCGAGTCCTTGTGTCTGGTCTTCCCCGGTCTCTCCCTCCCCTTCCTCCGGGCCCTGGCCCCACCTGTGTCCCCTGTGTCGAGGGGCGCCAGCGTGCTGCCCCTCACTCCTCCCAGTTTCCTCCGACAGAGGCCCCGTTGCAGACGCTTCACATGGACGTGTGGGGCCCAGCCCGCGTCTGTGGACAGGGTCAGGAGCGCTACTTCCTACTGGTGGTTGACGACTACTCGCGTTACACCACAGTCTTCCCCTTGCGCAGCAAGGGTGAGGTCACTGAGGTGTTGATCGACTGGATCCGCGCAGCTCGTCTCCAGCTTCGGAGGAGCTTTGGCTCTGACTTCCCTGTTTTGCGTCTGCACTCGGACAGAGGCGGAGAGTTCTCCTCTGGCCTCCTGAGTGCCTACTGTCGTGCGCGAGGCATCCGTCAGACCTTCACGCTTCCGGACTCACCACAGCAGAATGGGATTGCTGAGCGCCGCATTGGCATGGTCATGGACGTCGCTCGTACGTCCATGATGCATGTGGCTGCTCCCCATTTTCTGTGGCCGTTTGCGGTCAGTTACGCTGCGCACCAGATCAACCTCCACCCCAGGGTCTCTCGACCGGAGACCTCCCCAGCCCTGCTGTGGACGGGGAAGGTTGGCGATGCGTCGGCGTTCCGGGTCTGGGGATCTCGGGCGTTTGTTCGCGACCTGTCTGCGGACAAGCTGTCCCCTCGTGCTTCTCCCTGCGTCTTCCTGGGGTTCCCCCCCGACGCCCCTGGGTGGCAGTTTTACCACCCCTCCTCTCGACGTGTTCTGTCCTCCCAGGACGTCACGTTCGACGAGTCGGTACCCTACTACCGCCTCTTCCCCTACCGCACTCCGTCCCTCCCCCCACCCCCGCTCTTCTTGGTACCAGGTCCCCCCCCGGTAGTCCCCCTCCCCCCTCAGGGTCCTGCCCCTTCAGGTGTGTCCCAGGTAGACGCGGTCGTGCCTGTCGAGGTCACTGGTGACTCTGGTGCTGCTGCGGGAGCTGAGCCTGGGGGTGCGGAGTCTGGGGGTGCTGAGCCTGGAGGTGCCGAGTCTGGGGGTGCTGAGCCAAGGTGGTGCTGTGCCTGGGGGTGCTGAGCCTGGAGGTGCTGAGCCTGGGGGTGCTGAGCCTGGGGGTGCTGAGCCTGGGGGTGCTGTGCCTGGGGGTGCTGTGTCTAGGGGTGCTGAGCCTGGAGGTGCTGTGCCTGGGGGTGCTTCGTCTAGCCTGGAGCCACTCTCCCCACGGGAGCTGCGTGAGTGGTTTGCCAGGCGCTGGAGGCGTGCTGCTGGTGCTGGTGGTTCTTCGGCTGCAGAGGGTACTGCTGCTGCGCGCCCCGCCGGTGCTCGTACTGTGGGTGCTGGAGCTGCTGAGTCTGAGAGTTCTCCTGGAGCTGGTCCTGCTGAGGGTGTTGGCGCTGAGCCTGCCGTTGGCGGTCCGACTGACAGTGCTCCTGGTGCTGCGGCTGGAGGTTCTGGAGCTTCTGGTGGTGCTGCTGGAGGTACTGCTGGAGTGGGTACACCTGCCGGGGCTGCTGGTGCTGTTCCTGCTGTTTCTAGCGTCGCCGCGCGGCCCCGACCGTACTTCGTTCCGCTCCTGCAGCAGGTTCTTGGTCTTACACCTCCTCCTCCTCCTCCCTTAGAGGGTCCGCAGCCTGTCCGGTCACAGCCACAGCTACAGCCTGCCTCCCCTTTGCCTGCTCCTTCTCCCTACGCTGGTCCTACTGGAGGTCTTACTGAGCGTCGTGAGCCTGCGTCTCGTCCTGTGTCGCCTGTTCGTACTGAGCGCGCTAGTGGTCGCGGGTCGCGTCAGCGTCCTCCTCCTGTCCCTGGCACGCACCGGATGTCACTGCGTCCGTCCACTGCTCCTCTGCGTGCCCCTTAGCCTTCTCCTCCTGCTTCCTCTCTTCCTGCTCTTGCCGACCCGGAGTCGGACTCTCTTCGTGCTGCCAGTCCTACTGTCACGCGTCTCCTTGCTACTACTGTCACTGACCCTTTCTTCGAGTCGTCTGCTGCGTCTGCCCTTGTCACTGAGCTTGTCGACTTTGCTGCGCGCTGTCGTCTAGACTACGCTGCTCGACTTGTCACTGAGTCTGAGTCCGCCTGTCCTCCGTCCGTCGGGGGTGAGTGTGCCCTTGGCACGGACGTCCTTGAGGACAGGCAGGAGGAGTTCCAGTGTCTGGCAGCTGCTTCACCTCATCTCGTGTCCGTACTGCTTACCCCTGAGGGAGACCCGGATGCACCAGACATCCCGACTCCGCGCTCTTACGCGGAGGCGATAGAGGGTCCCTACTCCTCTTAGTGGCAGGCAGCTATGGATGCAGAGATGGCTTCCTGGAAGTCCACAGGCACCTACGTTGACGCTGTTCCCCCTCCTGGGGCGAACATCGTCAGTGGCATGTGGATTTTCAGGGTGAAGCGGCCGCCGGGTTCTCCGCCTGTCTTCAAGGCGCGTTACGTGGCTCGTGGCTTCAGTCAGCGGCAGGGGGTTGACTACTTTCAGACCTTCTCCCCCACCCCGAAGATGACCACTCTTCGGGTTCTGCTGCACGTTGCTGCTCACCGTGACTACGAGCTCCACTCTCTCGACTTCAGCACAGCTTTCTTGCAGGGCAGCCTGCACGAGGAGATCTGGCTGCGTCGCCCACCTGGCTTCACTGGGTCCTTCCCTCCTAGTACCCAGTGGAGTCTCCGGCGTCCAGTCTACGGTCTCCGCCAGGCGCCACGTGAGTGGCACGACACACTGAGGACTACGCTCGCGGCACTTGGGTTTGCTCCTTCCACTGCCGACCCGTCGCTGTTTCTGCGCACCGACACCTCTCTGCCGCCGTTCTACATCCTCGTGTACGTCGACGACTTGGTCTTTGCCACAGCTGACACTGCTGGACTCGCCTACGTGAAGTCCGAGCTGCAGAAGAGACACACGTGCACTGACCTGGGTGAACTGCGCAGCTACCTTGGCTTGCAGATCACCCGGGACAGAGCACGCCGCACCATTACCCTGACTCAGTCACACATGGTGCAGCAGGTCCTTCAGCGCTTCGGCTTCACGTACTCCTCGCCTCAGGCCACTCCTCTGCCTACTCGCCACTCGCTCTCAGCTCTGCCTTCAGATGAGTCCGTAGAGTCGAGTGGCCCGTTTGCAGAGCTTGTTGGCTGCCTCATGTACCTGATGACCTGCACACGACCTGACCTCGCATACCCTCTTAGCATTCTCGCACGCTTTGTTGCTCCTGGGAGACACCGACCAGAGCACATGGCTGCAGCGAAGAGGGTGTTGCGCTACTTGTGCAGTACGTCGGGCATGGGGCTAGTGCTTGGAGGGCGCAGTCCAGTGGTCCTCACTGGGCACGCAGACGCTTCTTGGGCTGACGACCAGGCTACGCAGCGGTCGTCACAGGGTTACACCTTCAGCCTTGGTTCCGGCTCTGTCTCGTGGCGGGCTACCCGCTCGTCTTCTGTTCTCGGCTCCAGTTGTGAGGCTGAGATCTACGCTGGGGCTATGGCTGCACAGGAGTTACGCTGGCTCACCTACCTGCTGACCGACCTTGGAGAGCAGCCTCGTTCTCCTCCAGTCCTGTACGTAGACAACAAGGCCATGCTGGCCTTGTGTCGAGAGCAGCGACTGGAGCACAGAACGAAGCACATTGCTCTTCGCTACTTTCTTGCTCGTGAGCTACAGCAGCGTGGACAGCTGCGACTTGCGTACGTGGCCTCTGAGGCCAACACTGCTGATGTCTTCACCAAGGCACTTGCGCCTTGTGATCATCAGCGTTGCTGCACGCAGTTGGGTCTTGTGCCTGTCTTACCTCACTTGCTCTCCTCTTGACCTTGCTTGTACCTTCGCATATATATACTCTTGCTCTTGTATATTTCTATATATGATCTTGCATGTGAACTGGCCTTGTGGCCTTTGAACTTGTGCTCGGAATGCGTGGTGACTTTGTGATCCACCCTGAGCTTTGCTTTGCTTTGCTTGACTGGTCTTGTGACCCCTTGTTCTCCCCCACTTTGCCTATGGGGGTGTGTCAGAACGTATAGCTTACTTGTTTGTGTAGGCTATAGTGGGGTATCCCATAGGGGGTACAACACATTAGGGTTTCCTATTTGTATTCACTTCACTTCATAGTCATTCATTCTCGTTCTTTGTTTTCACAAGCGGGTGCTCCCACCACCTGATGGGGACGAAGTCGGTCTTCGTCGACATGGGGCCGAGCGACGGGGTGAAGCACGTGCGTGGGTTCAACGGGGCATTGCAGCCTGTCAAGGGTCGCGGAACCGTCGCTCTGCAAGGGGAGGCCGGGAAGTGGGTCCTCATCCCCGACGTACTCTACGTTCCGGGCGTACAGGCAAACCTGTTGTCTGCTGGCCAGCTGAAGGAGAGCGGAGTGCTGCTGCAGGGCGATGGCGATGAGATGCTGCTCGTCGCCGCGACTGGAGAGGTGCTCGGTCGAGCACGCTACACCGGACGGATACTCTACACCGACCTTCGCCCCTGCTCGACGCAGTCGCCGTCGACCGAGGTGGTGGCTCTGCGGGAGATCATCTCAGCGACGAAGACGACCCCCGACAGGATGCATGCGCGGCTCGCACACGTCAGCGTCGACACGATCAAGAGCTCGGTAAAGCATGATGTTGCTACTGGGCTCGACATCACGTTGTCGACCGGAGCAGACCCGCCGTGTGTCTCGTGCGTCGGAGGAAAGCTGGCGCGGCACACCTTCCCTGCCAAGGGCTCGGACGCAGCGGAGGCGCTGGCTGTTGTGCACATTGACTTGTGCGGGCCATTTCGAGTAGCTGCCAAGGATGGCAGCTTGTACTTCCTGCTGCTGAAGGATCGCCATACTCAATTTGTATGGACAATGCCGGTCGCTAGGAAGAGCGACGTGCTGCGGGAGTTTCAGCGGTGGCTGGCGCTAGTGGAACGGCAGACGAAGAAGTCGGTGCTGTCGCTTTGCTCCGATCGAGGAGGGGAGTTCCTCGGGAAGGCGTTCACCGACTTCGTCGACGGGAAGGGCATCGTCCACGACCTGACGTGCCCCTACACTCCGCAGCAGAATGGCATGGCTGAGCGGGAGATGCGCACGGTCGTCGAGTCCGTGCGGACGATGCTGCTGCACATGAGCGTGCAGCACCACTGGTGGCACCTTGCTCTACGAGAAGCGGTCTGGGTGCGCAACTGCTTGGAGCGGTCGACGACGCCACCGGGAACGACTCCGTACCAGCTGTTGACCGGGCAGAAGCCCGACCTTACGCTGGCGCGGGTGTGGGGCTGCATGGTGTAGTTTATGGTTCCCGAGCAGTAGCGCGGTGGGAAGCTGGCTCCGAAGGCTCGCTGGGGACTTCACGTGGGTGTGTCGTCGGAGAGTAAGGGCTGGGAGGTGCTCGACCTGACAGACAGCACGGTGGTCACGTCGGTCGAGGTGATCTTCTACGAGACGCTGTCGCTGGAGGTGTGGATGGCCAAGTATGGGCCGGCGTCGGGGCGGATGCAGGCACACCCGCCGACGGACACACTCGCCATGCACGCTCGTTCGCCGCAATTCCCAAGTAGATCGCCGCACGAGCTTTCGGTTGCAACTTGTGGCGAAGTGGATCCGGTACATGGTAGTAGCAAAGGCACCCAAAGGTGCGTAGGCGGTAGAGGTTCGGCTTCGTTCCGGTCCATGCTTCGAACGGAGTCGTTCCCGGTAGCACCTTTGTTGGCACACGATTACGAATCCATACCGCTAGCGCACTCGCCTCTCCCCACCACTCGTTCCCAAGCTTGGAGTGTTGAAGAAGTGAACGAACGGCCTCCACCAATGTGCGATTGAGCCGCTCCGCCGCTCCATTTTGTTGGGGTGTGTAGGGTGTCGTGACGTCGTGCTTAATGCCCTTGCTTTTCATCCATTTTTCAAGCTCGTTGCTCACGAATTCGCCGCCACCGTCGGTGCGAATGCACTTGATCCGCTTCTTGCCGTCGTCGCAAACGTCGAGCGCCCACTCTTGAATTGCCTTGGCCGCATCTCCCTTAGCCTTCAAGAGTCGGGTCCAACACATCCGCGTCGCGTCGTCGAGCATCACTAAGAGGAACCGCGCTCCTCCCTTTGATGCATGCTGCATCGGTCCACACACATCCATGTGAGCAAGCGCAAGCGGGTCCTTAGCGAGGGGTGAGGTACGGCTACCAAATGGCTTGCGATCCATTTTTCCTTCGACACACATCGCGCACACGCCCTTCTCGTCATTGCCGGAGATTGTTAACGGGAATGAAGTGTTGGCCCCGCCCTCGCTTGGGCAACGCCGACAACTTGGTCGGATGTACGGAAGTAGCAGCCGACTGCTCACAGTGGGATAGCTGCTCGACAGGTTACGTCGAGCTGCAGCGGACCACTGTGGTGTTGCTGTCGACCAGGATGCTCGACAGCTGCACCTGAGTGGCCTGGGCGACGGGTGAGCCGTCCGAGAGGTCGACGAAGCAGTCCGTTGACCTACAGTTCGACGGGGAGGTCTATGGAGCATCCCGTCGAACTACAACTCGACCGGGAGGTCAACGGAGCGTCCCGTCGAATTGCAGCTCGACCGGGAGGACAACGGAGCATCCCGTCGAACTGCAGTTCGACCGGGAGGTCGACAGAGCAGTTCTGGTCGACGGAAGGGGTCCGTCGACCAAGGGGTAGCTTGACGGGAGGTGTGTTCGACCAGGAGCGCCCGGTGGTCGACCAGGAGCGCCCGGTGGTCGACCAGAGGGACCCAGTGGTCGACGGGAGGCACCTGGGAGTCGACCAGAGCACCAGGGGTCGACCAGGTCGACCGCGTAACCTGCTCGACGAGTTCTGCGGAGGCACGCGAACGTCGTCGAGATCACGATGGCGCAGGCGACTTCGGGCTGGTATCCCGAAGTCGATGTGGCTCGTCAGGCGCAGACAAACAGCCGACGGATGCCCAACGAGGCAAGTCGGGCCAATCGTCTGCGCACACCTGTGAGCGCGCGCACTGCTGTGTTCTACGGGGCGCGACGTCGACCTGCTTTGTTGGCAGGTTGCCCTTTTGCAGTGCTGGCGCGGCTCCTCTACGCAATGCTGGCAGGCGGTCGACCGAGCTGCGCTGGCGGTCGACCAGGCTGGCTGCAGGGTTGCTAGGTGCCTGATGTAGTCATTGTTGTCATTGCTTCTTGATTATTCTGGAATTCCAACTTTGCTAGTGAAAACTCTTGCCAAATTCTTCCGTGAATGTGCAAACACTAAGGAACTAAGCAAAGCTAAGATCACCTCTAGTAGTTCGTGCCAACCCCTGTAGTCTAGCTCACTACCGTTGTAGAGTTAATCTCCACATGGTGCGGTGAGCGTGGATCGAACACGCGACCTTCAGATAGGAGCTGACTTTTGCACCTACTAAGTCTTTCGTAGGCCGGCAGTAGCGATAGTCGCCATGGTCAACCCCGTAGTTGATACGGGTGTAGCGGACACTTTGGAGGCACGTTTGGCTGACGCGAGGAGACGCCACGCGAATGGCGAGTACGGGACGATCCCCTTAGTGATTGCCGAGTTGGGCATCCGGTCGCAGTGGGCGACGGAACACCCTTCCCGTCCTGCTTCTCCTCGACCGGTGCGCAACGAAGGTGGCGTCGACGACGAGGTCGACGGTGGTGCACGAGTCAGCGGCAGTGAAGGCACGAGGCATAGAGGAGTGATCAAGGTCGACGGTGGTGTCGACGGAATCCAGGCGCGAGTGCAGCGGTCGACGGCGGCTGCAGGCAGCTCGCACGCCGACGTCGATGTTCGACGTCGCTCTCCTCTACGAAGTGGTGGCGGGCTCTCGGCGACGACGCATGTGACTGCGGGCGGGATTGCACCGGCGTATGGCTACTTCAAGTTTTCGCCGGATCGGATCACCGTCGCTCCGCTGCAAGGTCGACGGGACCTCATCACCTGGAGGGAGTCGATCGAACCTCAGCTGGAGGTCGCCGGGCTGAAGGGCTTCGCCGACGGCACTGTGCCAATTCCGCCCGAGGAGGATGTCGGGCTGCGCGGGGAGTTTCGTTCTGCTCACCTGCTCATCTTCATGGTCATCTCGAGGTGCTGCTCGCCGGTGGTACAGCTGGCGCTCAGGAGCTGTCGAGAGCGACTGGATGCTGGTCACCAGGCATGGCGCTTCATCATATCGACGTACCAGGTCAGGGACGACCTGTACATCGGGCAGCTGGAGGAGAAGATGACTCACATTCGGATGGGCGAGCAGGAGTCGGCGACGGATTACTGCAACCGTGCTCGACGGATCCTGGCTGAGATGCGAATGGCGGGCGCCGAATACTCGACGGCGTCCTACATCACCCACATCGTCAAGGGCTTGCCGCGCAGCTACAATCTCATGAAGAGGATGATGATGGTGCCTGGCACGCGTGAGTCCCTCGACGAAGACTCCATCACCAGCTACATTCTCCAGGATGAGGCGATGCAGGAGGCAGAGCAGCCCACGGAGTTCCTTCCGCAGGCGAGTTACGCTGCACCGACGAAGCCGAATTATCAGCAGGAACAGCGCGGGAAGCCAGGCGGAAGTGGTAGCGGAGGTGGGCGGTCGACGAAGGACGTCGACGAGAAGAGGTCGACGCGGGACAAGGGTCGACGAGGTGGTGGTCGACGGCGCGAGTGCTGGGTCTGCGGCGACCCCGACCATCTCTCTTTCGAGTTCCCCGACCGCGATGAGAGCGATGAGGACGACAACAAGGAAGGCCACGGTCGATCGGCCAGTCGTCGCCCCCGTCGAGTTGAGAAGCCGCGCAAGGAGAAGCAAGCGTTGAAGAAAACGTCCTCGACGAAGGACGTCGACAGCTCCAGCGGCAAGAGC